AGAGTACTCCAAAGGATGCGAAACTTGCCAGAGACATGGACCAATCTAGCAAGCTCCCTTAGTTCCCATGAATCTAGTTGTTAAGCCATGGCCATTCAGAAGATGGGCAATGGACCTCATTGGTAAAACCTATCCAGCCAGTAGCAAGCACCATTGCTTCATTATTATGGCTACAGATTACTTTACCAAATAGGTAGAGGCTAAGCCAGTCAAATCTACGACATCTCAAGAGATCATTAATTTCATTGTGCACAGGTTTGGCATACCAGAATCAATCACAACTGACAGAGGGACTTCTTTCGTATCTAAGGAGATGCAAGATATGGCAAGAAGGCTCAAGATCAAGTTACTCTAGTCCACTCCCTATTATGCTCAGGCAAATGGGCAGGCAGAATCAAGCAACAAAGTAATAATTAATATCATCAGGAAAATGCTTGAGGAGAATCCAAGGCAATGACATGAAAAGTTGTCAGAAACCTTATGGGCCTATAGAACTTCAAAGAGGGAAGCAACCGGCATGACCCCATATGCTTTGACCTATGGACATGACTCAATTCTACCCATGGAAATCACAGTCCAATCTATTAGAATTGCCCAACAGCACAATCTAGTTGGAGAAAACTACTCACAAGCAATGCTACTAGAGTTAGAAGGACTGGACACAAGCAGAATTGACATTCTCAATAAACCCTTGGCAGGAAAAGAAGCTATAGCAAGAGCTTATAGTAAGAGAGTAAAAAACAAGAGTTATGAAGAATGAGAAATTGTTTGGAGGGCAGTTTTGCCCCTCGGATCCCACGTTGCTGGTTATGAAAAGTGGTCACCCACATGGGAAGGTCATTTTCTGATCAAACAAGTCCTTGGAATAGGGGCATACACTACAAAAAAAAGGGTCATTACCGACCAACATTCTCCGAGGGCCCCGAAATTTCCTCAGTAAAAGTGTTTTTTCCGACCAAAAAATGTTGTCCGTTGGAAATATGTCACGAGCCTGAAATTTATTTCTGACAACGGAAATACCCTCAGAAAAAGTCTCTATTGTCGTCGGAAATGTAATTTATTTGGTTGGAAGACTTGGCGCCAACTTTATTAACGACCAAAAGTACATTTGACGGAAATAGGATGATTATTTCCGACGACTTTCTCTTTCCGTCGGAACTGTTTGACTATTTCCGAGGGGCTTTTTATTCCGTCGAAATTGCTTGAACATTTCCGAGGGGTTCTCCTTTCATCTGAATTGTTTGACTACTTTCGAGGAGAAATATGTCCTCTCGGAAAAACGTTTGAATGTCAATTTCCCATTAGAATAAATTAAAAAAAATTTGATTGATAATATTGTTAGCTAGGGAAGAAAACAGATTTTTTTAAAAGAGAATTTGGTCATCATGTAGACCCAACAAACCCGATGCCAATATATATGGTAGTTGGTGGGGGCTGTGTTCCATGGGGGGTTGGTATAGTTTCATTCGCAAGTCTCTACACAAAACAAAACAAAGGCATTATCTGCATATGAAATGAAACCCAAATTAAAAATCAAAATGATATGAAAATTATAATTTGATGCACAAACCAAAGCTCTCTGTAGTGATATGCAGTTCTTATTTGAACCTATCAACTTTTTGGCCCCTCC